AAAATTATTTTACATGTCAAACAACCTCAAACTCATTAATTTAAATGATTTTTTGCCGATTTTCACATTAATTCAAAACCACGAGATACTAGATTGTAAGATTTTAAACAATAAAGGCATTTTCTGTAGGTTTGATTAATCACATGAGGCTTTTCAGTATTATAACTCTAAAAGTATAATAGGTATATCAATTGAAAATTTATTTGTTTCCAGTATAAATACTGGTAAAACAAGCGTGTGTATTTCAAATCGTTAATTCGAACAATTTGCATTACGTTTTAAAATTAGTTCAAACTATGAGGCATCGGAGTATATGTTTAGAAACTATAGGGGGGCTTTCTGTACATTCACTTAACCTCAAAGGGCTTTTCTATATTTTACCCCATTGTTAATGGCGCAATTCAATTAGCCCAAATTTGGATGGTTCTCCAGCTAGCTTGCGCCGCTGCCAGTTCTAACTTCTAACGAGTCTTTATATTGAACATGATATCCAATCCTTTTCCACATAGGAAATCATAATCCTAATCCTAATCCTTCTCCTCCTCTTAGGAATTGGAGGAATTTCTCCTACGCCTATATATAAATACACGTTACTATTCTTCTAACTTCCTCACAAAAACTCCTTCCATCGTTATTTTCACTGAAGATTGTTAAAAAAATTTCCTGCAACCATGGCTTTCCAGCTTCCCACAACCGTTTCCAGCCACCACAACCCTGTTTTGCAGCCGAACGAATGTTCATCTACTTTGTTCCAAACTATCGCAGCTCCTGCCTCCGTCGTTTGGGCTCTGGTTTCCGACTTTGAAAATCCTCAACGCTACAAGCCGTTTGTGAGATCCTGCAAAATCATAGATGGCCAAGCGAACCAAGTCGGATGCTTACGCCGTGTGGATGTCGCGTCAGGGCTTCCAGCCTCCTATAGCATCGAGCGGCTCGAGACTCTTGATCATGATCAGTGCATCTTCGGGTTCAGCATTGTCAGCGGCGACCACCGTTTGTCGAACTATCGCTCGATCATGAGCCTACACCCCAATGGCGGCGATGAGACGGTGGTTGTGGAGACTTACGTGATTGATGCGGCTGAGGCCAACACGAAAGAAGAGGCGTGTGCCTTTGTGGATACGATCGTGAAACTGAACTTGAGGACCCTTTCCAGAGTTGCTGAGGATTTGGCGGGCAAAGCGCAACAACAGGTTTGAAATTTTCAATTTCTTTCACTGGTTTATTTGTTTATTAGCTAAGTAATTAGGTTAGTATCTAGGAAGAGAATCAGAAATTTCAAAAAACAATGAAAAAACAAAAAAGACAAAAAAAAAATTAAACAAAAGATTTTGGTTTCCTCTTTTTTTTTTCTTTTTTATTTGCTAAAAAAACATTGAAAAAATCAAAAAATCCAAAAAAGCAAAAAAGATTTTGGCTTCTTCTTTTTCGTTTACTTTTCTTTGGTAGGAAAAGAATTTTCAAAAAAAATTGAAAAATCGAAAAAGTGAAAAAAGATTTTCGTCTCTTTTTTTTTTTATTTGCAAGCAAAGAACAAAAAACATTGAAAAAAAAAGACAAAAAAAGCACAAAAATATTTTGGCTTCTTTTTTTTTTTGTTTACTTTACTTTGGTAGGAAAAGAATTTTAAAAAACTTGAAAAATCAAAAAAAGTGAAAAAAGATTTTCGTTTCTTTTTTTCTTTTTTATTTGCAAGCAAAGAACAAAAAACATTGACAAAAACAGAAAAGACCAAAAAAATCAAAAAATCCAAAAAAACACAAAAATATTTTGGTTTCTTTTTTTGGTTTACTTTTTTTAGTAGAAAAAGCATTTTTTTAAAAAAAGAAAAAATTGAAAAATGATTATGGTTTCCTTTTTACTTTTTTATTTGCAAGTAAAGAACGAAAAATTGAAAAAAAAATCCAAAAAACTAAAGGATTTTGGTTTCTTTATTCCTTTACTTTTTTATTAGTAGGGAAAGAATTTTTTTTAAAAACAGAAAAAATTTTAAAAATGAAAAAAAGGCATTGAATGTCTTATTTTTCCCAAAAAATGGAAAATTCGCTTAGCTCTACCTAACACGTATCTATCAACTATGCATGAGGTGATATTGTTTTCAAAAGAAAAAAAGGGTAATGCATAATTTTAAATCTGCCACTCTAATGTCTCATAAATACTCTACACGATCAATAATTAAATCTGTCCTTTTGTTAATTAAACAGCAGTTGATTCTTTTTTGCCCCATTTAGCCTGCCTATAAATGCTATGTTCTTAACTTTTTAACTGTTTGTGTGCATTTTAATAGCTACTGATGATCAGTTGAGTTCCTATTAGTGTGTCTAAGTGAGTTCCCTATAAATGTGCCTAAATAGCAGAGGTGAAAATGATAGGTACTTCCACTTTCAGGCATCGAAGTTAGCTATACTTGGGAATCTGTCTAAGGCTACTTCACACACCTTTGCACGTATAGCAACTAGCCCTGTAATTGTGTGATAATGCGACGGTGTAGCTTTTGATGTGAATGAAATCCTAATTGGCCTCTTTCCATTTCTACCTTGGCTTAGAAACTGAAAGAAGTATGAGTTAAAACTTGAAGTCTGCGCCTAGTGATTGGAGTTGACATCTTAATATACTTAATAAGTTGGTGAGGCGACAAAGCAATCAGGGGCAGGTTAGTGCCATGTATCTGTTGTGGTTCCCTGTTCGGTTGTTGCAGAGTAAGCCAAGTCGGGAGTCTCGCTATACCAAATAATAACTGAGGGTGCACTTGTGGTTCCCATGCCAAACATCTCCTGAGTGAGCCAGTTGGATTCTCAGGAGATCTAAAAATGAATAAGTGCAAAAAGAGCACAAAATAGCACCAAAAAAAAGGTGCTTCTGAAAAAAAATTGGGATTGCAATTGCCACAAGAGGGACAGCTTTGCAGTCGAAAAACAAAATCTATTAACAAGCTGCAGCCAAGTCCTTGCACTCACACATCAAGGGACAATGGGGGGAACCCCACCGCAACTATAGTGCAGGCCAACCACTGTCGTTACCATTGTTAATGCCCTGGTTCTGGTGAGCAATCCTAGATCTCACTTGGACCTTCGACTTTTAGGTATATTGGGATTTTAAACCAAAAAACTTGATTGTGGATGGAAAGTTAAGACGAGTCTTGTGGACGTTTTTAACCCAATTCCTGTGAGCACGCCATCTTTCTTTAATATAATTGTCATATGGGCCAATTAGTGTTGAATTCATATCAAATTGTTATGCTCGAACAAATTTCCTTTACTAGGCTAGATGACATTTCATCCCTCACACATGCTGAAGATTGGGAATTAACCAATTATTGCTATTTGATACAGCCTGCTCTACATGTTTTTGAGTGGGAGTATCGTCAATTTTTCCTCGCATTGAATGGCATAGGGGGTATTCATTGTCCAAGGTGACTTGTCTATGATCGTGAAGAGATGGCTTATCATGCTTGGCACTAGAGACATGAAGTTTTTTAACTCCACCTGTGTTGACACAATACATCACACAGCCGGTCCCAAGTCCGGATGAAGGAGGAGGGATTTTTTTTATGCTTTAGAAGGCAGCTCTTAGCGTACGTTCTCAAAATCCTTCTGTGCAGATTATATATGAAAGGTTGGTGAATGCGAGTTTTTTTGTTTCATTCTTCTTGGTAGTGCTGAATTTTTGGTCTTCATTTCATAGTTGATCTGGATTTTAGCATCTATCCCGGGTTATGATCCAATCACACATCTCTCATTCTTTTACTTTGCTTTGTTTTACAACCGCACTTTACTTTTTCAGAGTTTGTGTACTTGTTCACATAAATCTGTGTGTGTTAGAGCTGCCAATGAACTGGTTTACTGTGAGTAATCAACATGCACTAGTACGTTTGGCATTGGAAATTGACAGGAACTTTTACGCTGGTTCTCTTCTGTTCATTCAGTCACCTGAATTGTGTTGTAATATGTTCTTAAGCTCACTTGCTGTTGCAAAGGTAATGAACTTTGTTTTATCTCATGCTGATCTTTCATACATGTGTAGTTTATATCGGCAAACTATGATACGGAAAAAAGGTTACGCTACTGATATTTCAGACACAAGTTGTACTATTTGGTGTGGCCGAAGTCTGACCGTAGATTGGCTTTCATATCTTGAATTTCTTTCCCAAATTCGTGTGCTATAGGTAGATTTGCAGTACCATTTTAGTCAGAACAGATGTTAGAGCGAAGTGATGCTGATTACTTTCTAATTTTGCAATTCTTGGCAGGGATAATTCTATGGGATCAGTCTAATGCAATTTTGTATTGTTACAGTTTAATTAAATGAACAAGCTTTTATAGAACTCGTGGTCTCACATATGGATTTGAAGTCCTGTGTGTAGATTAGAAACTCTGTGAGTGGAAAGTATGTCTTTCTGGCAATGTTATTGATTTTGGAATTTGTGGCGGGGTCTCCTGCCTGTTGGTGATAGCCTGCAGACGTGGTTACAACACTTCAACTTTTCCTCAATTATGATGGTTTTATGTGATTAAAGAATGATAATGCAAACAGGGTTGTGAACTATTGTATGTGAACTATTATATAAATATAGGCTCAAGCTTATGGGCCATTCCTTGATTATTGTATACCAGCATTTTTATAGAGCTTTAAGAAATTTTCAGAATTAACTTAACAGTTTACTGATTTGACATAGCCAAATTGCAGATTGAAGGGGGCAAGATTTTGTTGTTCAAATCATCAACTTGATCTACTAGCTAGTAGCTTATTTTCAAACCTGCACTGAGAGTTGACCATCAATGCTTCTTGCCCTCTTCCTAAGCCCGTGAAGGTGAATTTCTCAATCAAGCCGGTCACAGCCCTCAATATTGGCATGAAAAATATAAACATGCCAAGCAGGACATGCCATGGTGCAAAATTTGCTCTAGTCGTGGAGTCTCTGGCTCAGAACCAAAAGGTAAAGAAGCCAAACAGCCACTGACAAAAAAAGTTCAGAATCTTCCATTATATTCTGGCTCTAGTTGTTTTAATAAACTTGTTCTTATTTTTTCATGCATACAAGTCGCATTACCTGTTCTTACAGACAAATCCCCACCCTCTTCATTTTCTTTGTAGATTTGCAGGTCATCATACATGTTAATTTGCATTATCTGTATGAGCATGTGTATAAACTAAAATACCAGACTTAAACATGTTAATTTGCATTATCTGCAAGCAGGTTTCCCATTGAGATAGTTCAGAAAAATGAAATTGGATGAATCAATCAGACAATCTATAAACAAAAAAAAAAGATGGTGAAGAAATATCATGCATGCTGATTCTGCACAAGTTCAGTAGCATAAGTATATAAAAGCCAAGTTCAGTAGCACAAGTTCAGTAGCATAAGTATATAAAAGCCATAGGCTATTGTCTTCAAGAATTACATTTCATTAAACCGCAATTTCTCTGCTAACAATCATATCAAACAATTATGTCAGAATTGCTCCCAAACTCGAGTATTCTGCCCCTAGACCATCTATTGTACAATCAATTTCTGATTATCCTTGTGCTAATTGTCACTTTTTTAACCAAGATTTCATAAACTAATACAGCTATCAAGATAGAACCGGGTTAGCAAAAAAGTTGTAGAAAGAAGCATTCTTCTAAGATCAAAAGTGCTAAAAGTCAATCAAATTTTGTAAAAATTAATGAAAAGAAAAAAGTAAGGAAAGACAATAGATCACCACCAGCAAGAAAACAGTTTACATAGAATAGCCAGCAAGAAAAGATTATCTATATTTGAAACATAATTCTCTTATCTCCATAGGAGGATTCAGAGGGATTCTCATCTTTAGAAGTCAATAGTTCGATTGGTCGCAGATGTTTCTGTTCTCATGGAATTGTTCAGGTTTCAATCAGCAATCAGGATATAAAAGTCTTCTATACTTGCAACTGATGGAAGTAGACGAATACAGATAGTTATTGATGCATATGAAATAACATGAGATTTGGAGAATATGCAAGGTTGTCCATTGTAGGAGTGATGTATCAGATCTCTATGTTGGCAGTTTGAAAAGGAGAACTGGTACAAAATAGTATCCCCATGGATGCAACGGTTTCTAAATTTCTTCTTCCCTACTTCTGTTCTAATTTTCTGCACCAATTGTATCCTAGAGCCCTATTTAGTGCACAAATTCAGCAACTCGCTATTCCAACAACATAGAGCATGCTTCAAGCTTAAGACCCATGCCTAGATAACAAAGCACTTCCCCAGCTTTTCAAATCCATTAGAAGTACACTAAAATAGCTTCTGACGTACACAGGCTGCTGATCAGTAAAAATGTCCTGAACTCTTTTAACTAATAGTCTTAAAAGCAGCAAACTCATTCATACAAAATTTGAACACAAGCTTTTAACATTGAATGTTATTTGACAGTGGGGAAGATAGGTTGAACTCTTACTATCTCATTGGTGTATATTCAAGGACAGGAAAAGAAAATAACCACATGCAATGGAAGATGATAGTAAAAAGTCAGGAAGAAAGACACATATGAGACATCACTTCCAAGACAAAGGTGCATAAAAAATTCACCAATGAATAACTTAAATAACTCCTTCACGGATGGCCTAACAAACCTGGGTCTGTGGGTGTGTGTACAATACTACATGCAATATGTACCGGGTTTCAGCTCAGCCCTGGGAACCAGAATATCTTATGACAGGAAATTGAGGTGATGAATCCCAACATTTCAATTAAAAGCACTTCCATCAAAGTCAATGAACAAGCCTATGGTCTCAAACAACGGCCGAAGTGTCCACTGTCAGTTTACCCAATACCCATAAGCTACTAAAGCACCATAAATTTCAAGTCTACTGAAATACGTAGAATTTAAATTTTTAATAAATACACGAGATCCTAAAAAGATTACCCATTCTTCAAAGTGGGTAAATTGGATCTTCAGCCAAGTTCCCAAGAATATTAAAATTTACTCTTCCCTTAAACTCTTCATTGGTTGCATCAGTCGTGAATATTGATGGCATTCATAAAAAAAGAATGGAACGCACAATGTATCAATATATCAACATCAGTTTGAAACTCCGTGAAGTCAAAAGAATAGAATGTTGCAAGCACCAGATGCACACCTCCCCATTCTCCAAGTTGGTTCATCATTTGTCTTCCTTTTGCAACAAGAGCGGTCCAAGAAATAAAAATGATACAGGCATTGGAGAGGACTTCAAATATAACTGAAACTCATTCATTTCTGTCACATAGTGGGAAGCCTCAGCAACGCTTGGCTTCTGGTGTAAATATATCCAAAAACAATTCCAAACAAGTTGTCTGCCACAAGATTTTAAGCTAACTCTAAATTGTCCACTTATTATTTGGGCCCTAGAAGAGTGCAACATCTCATGCCTATACAAGTCCCTTAGGTATGAATAAAAGACAATTATCCAAAGCTGCTGCAATGAAGAATGCCTTTTAATGTTAAAAGCAAAACTGAAGCTTATATATCTATTTCTTGAGAACTCAAAATAGATGATTGGCAATCAGCTAAATATTTCATGCATATAATATCTGATGTCTCAAATGCCTAACAAAATTGGACTAACGGTCTTCTCCTTCCAGAAATATGATCACTTAAGACCATGTCATTCTTAAGAGAAATATAACGATACACTTATTAAATTGCTTTTATATTTAAAAAATTTTTCTTATGCCAGAAAATATTGCATATCTTCTATCTATTGTTTCTGATTTATTTTCAAAGAAAACAATGCAAAGGTTCCGTATTAGTAAGGTGAATTTGTGCCTAACCTGTATGAGTTATGTGCTCAAGCTTAAGCTAAGGTTACCATGTATCCATAAGCCTCTTCAAATTCAAGGAAATTGGTAACTCATATATATATACTGGAAAGCTGTGAGTGATAAAGAATTTAACCAGTGATGCATTTTGGATGTCGAATCATGTCATTTACTCAAGAAGGCACAGCAGACTTAAGCAGTCACTCGATTGAACCAAGTGACAAATGACAGAGTGTAAGCAAAACAAGTTGAATAAGACTTGTAAACAAGGACTAAACCATACTAATCTGTGATCTAAAAATGCACCGGCTACAAATAAATGGACGAAGTGGAAGATCATATGCAAAAAAATTTGAAACCAGCTACTAGACTCATATGTTAATAACCTATTGGCAGGATAATTGACATCTTATCCTTCTGTTTGTCAGTAAACCGAAATCTTAATCAAGTTTAGAACCCAAAAATCATAAACATTTTTCCTAGACTAAGTTCAACAGATGGAAATAGTGTTAAATGCATAATTTCAAAACAATTATAGCAGCGAACACATTATAGCAGTAATTCAAGTCCGCTACAGTCTTATTCACTTCCAAATACCCAAAGTACCCAACCTTGCCCCGAACTTAAGAATCCCATAAAACCAAGTTCACTAAACCAATTTAATTGTCCTGATTCTCAAGTCAGCATGAATTTTCTTTGTCTAAAATTTCCTTATTTTGACATTATTCCAGAGAACTGACAAGAGACAAAACCAGCAGAATTCATTACCTTTTCAAGAATTGACATGGCTTCTTTTGTTGCACTCTTCTCCCTCTCTACATAACAAAGGAAGCATTTTCATCAATCACCACACTGCCCAGACTATCCCAAACAATCAAATTGAAAATTTTCAAAAACCCAGATGCAAATTACATAAATAAATGCCAGTGAAGTACAAAAATAGCAAAAAAGAAAAAAAAAGAACATAGCTTTCTGGACAGAGGAGATGGGATGAGAGGCCTTACTGATGGGGCAGGTGATGAGGAATCCGGAGTGGGAATGACTGAGGAGAGAAGAGGGGCGTTGTAGTCAAAACGAGGAATGGTGATCACAGCAGAGTGCTGCTCCCAGGGCTTCATCTCCTCCTTGGTTTTCAGTTCCACTTTCATTGCTTCTTCTTCCAATTCTTTTGCTTTTTCTTCTGTTTTTGCTGTCACAAGTTTTTCCGCCATTCTTTTCTGAGTCTGGTGTTTCATTCCCAGTATTATTGAGTTAATGGATTGTAATTTGTATGGCAAATGATACTCGTATTTATATTTCGCAAATGAGGTTCTTCCACTAACTTTACTAATATAAAACGGGATTTATACTAAATAATTTAGGTCCTTTTTTATAACTCAATTTTCCACGATTTAAGGGTGCTTTTGATAAAATTAGAGTTTGAAATCTAATTCCATTAAATTATAGATTTTCATTAAATTATTGATTTCCTATCCATATATTAAATTAGATTTCAATTTTGAGACTCTAATTTTATCAAAGGCACCCTTAAATCGTGAAAAATTGAGTTATAAAAAAGAACCTAAATTCCTATCCATGTATAAAAAGCACTTTGGATGGCAGTGTTCATAAGTTTCATCTGCCTCCTATATGGGTACTTCAGTAATTCCACATGTTCTTCTTAAATTGGTTATGAAAATTGTACGAGAAATATAATGCAAGGACATGAAGAAAATGACCATTTCACCCTTTATTTAGTCATTGAGTAATCTACATGTTGCATCATTAATAGATAGAATCTGTGTGAAATTAAGACAACTTTAATGTCCATAACAAGACTTAATTGTTACTTGTCCATTACAGTCATAACTACAGAGTGATTCGAATTCTTCTTCTTCAGTTTCCTATGCTTTAATATCGGGCAATCATAACTGCAATGTGATTGGAATTCTTCTTCTTCGGTCTCCTGTGCTTTAGAAGGCAGCAATTGTTCAATATTTTACTATTTCTTCTTCTGCTTTTCTTTTTTAGGTTCTAGGTAATTGATGGTTGATTATTTTGTCGTTGTTGTTTACAAATTTGTAGGTAATAATTTACTTTATAGAAAACGTGCTACTCCTTTTCGGTATGTGAGTTGTAAAACTTGTAATCTCTAAGAATTAGTCCAAAAATTGTACATCCAGCTATAGTTTGCTTCATTCCATGAGTACTAGTGTAAAGAATGAGCATTCTTTCTTGTAGAACTGCCATTTTATGCTACATGTTTTTGTTCTAGACACTATCTAGAAGAATTCACCGGGGAAATTTGTAGCTGAAGAAAACTTCAAGGATACTCCTAAACTATATTCATTCGCAACACATGCCAAGATAATTTTACACATAATGGTTGCATTAAGTGTCAAAATTTGTGTGAAATACCATGGTTAAAGATAGTTTTAAATTATGTGTTATTGTGCGATTATGTTAATAATTTCTTATATCCTTATGTTATTGTCTATTCTTATTTTCCTTCTACTTAGTGATTTTCATAAAATGAGTGCATTACAATTCTCCTTTACTACATAAGTTAGTTTCTATTATATTATCTTCCATTATGTTTCATCTCACATCTCTTTCACTTTCTTCTTAACTAGACATTGCAAATTCATTAATCACCTCTTCAATACTTTTTTCCACAACACATGTACCAATTCCCACGTGTTACGCGGGCCTCTCCCTAGTATTAAATATTAAATCAAATATATTTGAGTGTATCACATTCATTGATAAATGAATAATTTATCACTTATTTTTGGAACAAATTTTGCCTAAAAAATTCAATACCACTTAATTAATTCAAATGTTCCATTTTTCATTATCAAACATATGAGAACATATTAAGATCTGAATCCATTAAATTTAAGTGCTGAATTGGGTTAGTAAACAAGGTCTAAATTAATTAAGTGGCATTGAATTTTCTAGACAAAATTTGCTTCCAAAATGAAAATATAAATCTGAAGTTTGAATTCATTAAATTATTTAATTGTTAACTACTAAATACGATACATTGGAGCCTAGAAAATTCAGTATAATTTATTTTTGAAGCAAATTTTGCCTAAAAATTCAGCGTCATTTTATTAATTTAGTTGTACAATTTTTGGTTACCAAATGTGCCAAACATGTTAATATCTGAATTCATTAATTTTAACTGTTAAATTGAGTTATCAAATAGAGCCTAATACTTAACAATTCAACAACTTAACTTTATAGAATTCAAACTTCACACTTTAGTTTTCAACTTTAATTTTATCAAACGCACCTTCCTTTTACTCAAATTCTACCAAACAGAATTTTTCTACATATTACCACCCTCACAATTCACAAATTCATTTTAACAACTAAATCTATTAACTAATGTCAGTCGGTTTGGACCATTGTGTGATATCAAAGGTTAAAAAAAAATTTCAGACGTGTGCACAAAAATAAGACAAAAAAAAGGAGAATTGCAGTTTCAGTCTCCAAATTTTAGCATATGTGCTAAATTAGTTTCTAATGTTCCAATCAAAATAAATTTGGTTCTCAAAGTTTTTGGTAGTAGGTACATTCAATAATAATGAAAACTCAACAATGACTAACGGTCAAAATTTAATTATTGTTATTTAATAATTTTGACTTTGTACTTTTGGACCCTGATATTTGAAATTTTAATCATTTTAGTTGCTTAAGTTTTCAATAGTGATATTGAGGGTATTAGGATAAAATAAGACACGAATTACAACACAATTGTCTTAAATGGATACTAGCAATTCTAATTAAACTTTTTATTTTTTGCTTCATTTATTCATGCCACTAATGTCTCATATACTTCTTCCCTTTGGTATAATTGGTCTCAAATTTGGTATTATATATGTGATTATTGTTTTATACTATTAGTAATTAACTGATGATTAACCCATGATAAGTAAAAGCACTTCGTATTAGTATTTATGTTTGCTGGTTTTTATAATTGCAATACCTAACTATAATAATTTAAGGCCTATATGCACAAGTCATGCAAGAACTAGCATGAATGATAATAAATTTTATATTAATACTCGAATTTTCCTTTTTTATTTTATATATTATGTATATATTGTCATTTGATTGTAACTTGTTCAAAAAAAATATAAAACTCTTTAAGTTCAACGACGTTATTATGTCGATATAAAGTGTTTTTATGAAATTTTATAGGAATTTAGGATGACATTTGTCATATCTTTAATTCAATGCACAACTTTTCTTTCATTTTAAAACCCTTAACTATAACTAGAAACTTAAGAGACCATATTGATTGAAACTTCAAACATTAGGGACTAAAAATGTAAAGTTAAAATCAGAAAATTTAGAGACCGGATTTGTTTTGGCTGATACATTAGAGACCAGTATGATGTATAGGTCAAACATTGAGAATCAAATTTGTGTTTCTCCCTTTGGAAAATTTTGAGAAGTAGTAATAGAAAGATTTAAAATTCTTAAAGACATATAAGTTTTGGCAAATTCACATATTCCTAATATCTAATAAAACACGTCATAATCAAAATTACCAAATTAACCTATCCAACCAAGCAAGCCCCCACTCTAATCATCTGGTCCCTAAATTCCCTTTCTTACTCTTTTTGAGTGGGAAATGAATTAGCCCAAAAATCTGAGCACTACAAAAAAAGTGAAAAATTACCACACTTTCTTTTGTCATAGTTCTCAATTCGTGTATAAAAGTGACTTTTTGACATGGTTTTAGCAACCGTGATGTCAAAAACTTCTTACCACACTTTTGTTGGTAACGACAATAAATCGTGGTAATTATGCTACTATTTGCCACGGTTGATTAATCATTGTGGTAACTTTGATATGTGCTGCAGATCTTTCTTCAACCGAGTTGTTGGTTGAACCAAGTTTACTTGCTTATGCAAACTAGTTTGAGCAGCCTGTGCTAGTAGATTATTTCAACAAGGTTTTATTTCGTGCAATATATGCTATGTTTTTGGTAACTTGTACGCACTTATTTGTGAGATTTTTAATAAAAACTTAAGCTATTTTACTTGTGTAAATTATGGCAATAGATCTTAAACATTTATCTTTTGATATTTCTTTTAAGGGCAAATTTCACTTTACTTCCCTGTGATTTAGGGTTTTTTGCATAACTCTCATATGATTTCAAAAGCTATACATAACCCCCTAATGGTTTTGATCAAAGTGTCAAAGTGACGGAAATGATCATTCGTAACGAAGTCACCTAAACTGTCAAAAATACCCATATGTAAAGTTAAAAATTATTTATCAAACAAGAAGGGTTATGTGTATATTTTGAAAATCATAAGGGAGTTATATGATAAAGTATTAAACTATAAGGGGATTATATGGTAAAATATAAAAATCATATAGGGTTAGTGTGTCATGTACTTATAAGGGTAATTTTGAAATTTTTAGAAGTTCCGTTACGAATGACTATTTCAGTTACTTTGATACTTTAATGGGCAAATTCCACTTTACCCCCCTGTGGTTTAGCGTTTTTTCACATAACCCCCCTATGGTTTCAAAAGCTATACATAACCCCCTTATGGTTTGGATTAAAGTGTCAAAGTAACGGAAATAGTCACTCGTAACGGTGTCACCTAAAATGTCAAAAATACCCTTATGTAAGATTGAAATTTATGTATTAACCAAGGGGGGTTATGTGTTTGTTTTGAAAATCATAAGGGGGTTATATGGTAAAGTATTAAACCATAGGGGGGTTATATGGTAAAATATAAAAATCATAGGGGGTTAATGTGTCATGTATTTATAAGGGTAATTTCGACATTTTTAGAAGTTCCGTTACGAGTGACTATTTCCATTACTTTGACACTTTAATCCAAACCATGAGGGGGTTATGTATAGCTTTTGAAACCATAGAGGGGTTATGTAAAAAAAGGGTAAACCACAGGGGGGTAAAATATAATTTATCCTACTTTAATTCAAATCATGAGGGGGTTATGTATAGTTTTTGAAATCATAGGAGGGCTATTTAAAAAAATACTAAACCACAGGGGGTAAAATATAATTTGCCCTTCTTTTAACAACATTGGAAATTAGGATGATTAATAAGAACCTTTCTCCTCAGAACCAAAACTGTGAAATTAGTCCATGACAAAGACCTTTCTCAATGCTTTCCAAACCGTGGCTACAATTTGTTGCAAAAAAGTATTGGTAACAGTTTCGAACCATGTTAAAAACCGTGGTAAATAGTCAATGATATATATCATAGTTCTTTTATGACGAATTTAAAACTGTGA